TTACATTAAATGGAACCAAATCACAAAAGCGCTGAGAGGATTGAATTGACACTGTGAGTCATTCTGACACTGTGGTGTGAATAATCCTGTGAATGGTTTTTATACGGTTGCGCTCTATCAATAGGTCTGATCTATGTCAGGACAATAATATGTCAAGGTTATCCTTTGTTCACTAATATATTATACACCTTATCTTAGCAGCTATTATACATTGTGTGTTAGTGCACTCACATGGATTGAGAACAAGAAGCGGAAGACTTGGAAGGATGTTGATCAAAGAACACGTCCTAGTTGGATGAATCTCGGAGATTTGCTCTTATATAATGTTGCTTATTTCAGTGGTGTGTAGGCCTGACACATGCTTGCATTATATCTTGTACACATTTGAATGTTCTAGGCTAATAAAGTCAGTACAGACACATTTGGCACAACTGTTTTGTGGTCTTTGTACTCACTTCTGACTTCTTCCTCTAATGTCCATTGTTGGTGATTCCACCTTCATCTTTTGTTGTTTAAACTGGCATTTTCCATCTTCTTTGATTAATTATTGCAAGCAATGCCCACCTGTGAGTGTTGCCACCTAATGGACCCACTAATTGGTGCAGTCGATTTCTGGCACATGCACTGATAACATTTATTTTCTTTCTTCAACTTTCATTGAAACTTTTGTCTAATTTCAAGGGGTAAGTACAGAGACATGACATGCAAGAAAAAAAAAACAAGATATCATGACTGTAACCTAAGAATTCATTCCGACTACTAATTTATTCTCTCTTTTTGGGTAAATCATAGTATGTCATACTAATTTGTTCCCTCGTTTTAGTTAAATCAATGTTACGATTTAAATAAATTACATGAATTAGTACAAGTTGAGTCACATGTGGGTATAAGCTGTAATTGAGAACCACTGGCATAAACCATTTGTGTGTGTCTAGTCATATTCGTATCATCTTTTTGTTGGCCATGATTTTGACACAAAATATCTTCACTTAGTGGAGCTCTGAGGGAAAAAAAAGTGAATGTATGACATGAATTACAGTTACATATGAATTATGGTATGAACAAGCATTTGATTGGACAACAATCTGTATAGTGCAGGATGAGTCATCAATATTTTTGGTCAGTTTTTCCTAAAGAGAATGACTGAAGAAAATACATTTTCTGATAAACGTGATTTTTAGCAGTAGCATATTACCCTAATATGGGTACCCTAAAAAAAGGTAATAAGTTTATATTATAAGTTAACAACTTATGACTCAGAATTGAACATTTATATTTCACAATTTTCTCAGAATTGTGAGTAAAAAAGTCAAAATTGTGAGCTAAAGTCACAATTACCTTTTTTATTTTTTTATTCCATGGCGAAAATAAGATTCCATACTTTAAAGGGATAGTTCACCCAAACATGAAAATTCTGTCTTACCCTCATGTTGTTCCAAACCCGTAAGACCTTTGTTCATCTTCAGAACACAAATTAAGATATTTTTGAGGAAATCTGAGATCTTTCTGACCCTCCATAGAGAGCAATGCAACTGAAATGTTCACAGACCCAGAAATATAGTACGGACATTGTTAAAATAGTCCAAGATAGTATTGTCGTAGCTTTGAAAAATGAACCACTGATGCCACATGGACTATTTTAACAATGTCCTTACTACATTTCTGGGTCTGGGAATATTTCAGTTGCATTGCACTCTATGGAGAGTCAAAAAGGCTCTTGGATTTCATCAAAAAATATCTTCATTTCTGTTCCAAAGATGAACAAAGGACTTACAGGTTTGGAATGACATGAGGGTGAGAAATTAATTGAAAGTTACAAAACTCTAATGTGTTTGTTTAAGTGCAAAGTCACCAATTGCCAAATTAGCAGCTTTAAACACTCTCCTGTGGAGTTTGAGGCTCTCACACAGAGTTAAATTCAGTTCTCTGTAATGCGACAGTGCCCACTTTACACCAAACATCTGTGATGCCTGTAATCCAGCACAGAAGTTCCAGTAAATTAACATCACTTGTACTTCCGACTCATTAACCGATTCTCATTAACGGATGATTTGACATTTAATTTGTGCGCGACTGCCGCTAAGTGTTATAAATGGCTAGAAAGCTCTGACTCCTGACCTGCCCTTCAGCATGGCCCCTCTGCTCCACCTCGCTGTGCATTGTTTCCGTGGTTACTTGCAGATCTGCCAGCGCTTACACAATCCTTTTAATCTATTTTTGTGTACCGCAGAGAGTGTGGACACCCACTTTCCGCATGAGGCATGGAGGAGTCATCAACCCTGGTTAAACAGACCAGCATGCGGCTTATTCCCACTGCGGGATCTTTTCTACGCAAATAAAACCACATCAAAACAATGAATACCAGCTGACTGTTTACATCTCGCAGAACTCATGTCAGCTGGAGATCTTTTTCCGACAGACTATCAGCAATCAGAACATCCTTCTTCACAATACAAGGTTTTTATGAAGACTCCTTGATCTGAATTTCCTGCCTGACGCTATATAAAACACAAATTGCCCTCATTTCCTCTGTCAGTCTTTCTTGTGTTCTCGTCTGGGCTTTGACAGCTGTGTTTATAGGGCAGTTGTCTAATGGAGGGTTGGAGCATCATGTCTGAGGGAGAACTGCATGATTGCTAGTATATATCTGCTTGTGAATGCTGCCATATTCATTCCCACTGACAAACGAGACAGCTTTAAACGAACAGTTCACCCAAAATCAGTTGTCACTCACCCTCAAACTCGTAATTGTGTGCTTTTTGGAGCCCTTGGTCACTATGAACAGCCATTGTATTGCATATAGGTTTGGAATAATATGAGGGTGAGACAGAATTTTCATTTTGGGAACTATTTATCTGATGAGTACAGATACAGTGCTCTGGGGCACCTCAACTGTGATTTGTACATCGCAGGATACATGGTGTCTCAGGTCTACTTATGATTCATAGATATGAATCAGTGTTCGGCTCAAAGGGTTGGAATATTGTGGAGTGCTTTTCGGACTTTTTTTGTCATCCTGTGATTGTTATCGTTGTTGTAAACATGCTGAAAAGTTTGGGGTCAGTCTGATTTTTTTATGTTTTGAAGTCTCTTGTTCTCACAAACGCTGAATTTTTAATTAAAAAGGAAGTAAAAACAGTAATAGTAATTTAAAAGAACTGTTTTCTGTTGTAATTTATAAAATGTAATTTATTCCTGTGATGGCAAAGCTGAATTTTCAGCAGCAGTTACTTCAGTGTGATATGACATCCCTCAGAAATAATTTTAATATGCTGATACGACATTATTCAAAATGTTTAAAACAGTTGTGCTGCTTAAATTTTTCTCTTCTGTAACTTTATGAAAGTCTTTCTTATCACATTTGTGACCCTGTTATATTTGTAGCAATAGCCAAAATTTACACTGTATGGATCAAAATTATTGATTTTTCTTTTATGCCAAAAATCATTAGGATATTAATTAAAGATCATGTTCCATGAAGATATTTTGTAAATACCGTATATATATTAAAACTTAATTTTTGATTAGTAATATGCATTGCTATGGACCTCATTTGGACAACTTTAAAGGCAATTTTCTCAATATTTTGATTTTTTTGTGCCCACAGATTCCAGATTTTCAAATACTTGCATCTCAGCCAAATATTGTCCTATCATAAATGGAAAGCTTTCAGATGATGTATAAATCTCAATTTCCAAAAATTGACACTTATAACTGGTTTTGTGTTCCAGGGTCACATTTGATCAATTTAATGTGTTCTTGCTAAATAAAAGTATTTAAAAAAATTATTACCAACCCCAAACTTTTCAACTTTAGCGTATATATTTGCATCCAGTGAGGTCCAAAAGGATGAGACCACACATGCAAAGTCTTCTATTTTACAATTTTATTTTTATTTTTATTTTTTTCAAATTATATTACCATAGTAAAGTAAAATTAAGATGAATTTCACAAATCATAAATTCAATCCCAGATTGTTAGTGTGGTCTCAGACTGATGAAGCTCACTGCTTATATATTTGTACAGCTTAAGCAGTAAAGCACATACATCTCCATAAACTGACAGATGCACTGATGATCCTGTACAAGAACAGCAATACTCATTCCACAAGTCTCTTTACAACACTGATTCTTGGAAGCACAATTACTATAATCCACCCCAGATAATACCCACAATCCCCGTGCCATTATGCAATTTATTACCAGTCACTGCTGAGCACATCTACAGTACACATTTTGTGAATCACTCTTGCAACAAAACTAAATTGGCAGACTGCGTGCACCAGGGCAGAGAAAGGCATCCAATGATTTTGGCAACTGTATATACACCTTCAACAGTTGGCACATGTTCCTCTTTGTATGAAGCCACAGAATTAACTTCTTAACATCGTTTGTTCTAACTAAAGGTGACGTAGGTATGAAAATGAGATCTTTCCCTGGCTCTGTTTACATGGTTTTACAGGGCTTAGTTCATTTTGTCAGGGAAAATTTAGTAATAAACAATCTCACCATATGCACCTTTAAGAATCGATGGCTGTGTTCGGAATAGCATAAGCATACTAGCCTACCTCTAGTAGACAACATATTTCTTGTATTAGTATAGCAGTATTCTAGTATATAATATGCATGTGTGAAGAATACATGAGCACATGCTTGAAATAAAAGCGCACTGCGACTGTATTTGAGATGATAACTGAACTGTACTTGAAGTAAACATACAATGTGTCAAGTTCTGCAACTGTTTAAATATGTTTAGCATTCCATATCGCATACAATTTTTTAAAACATTAAGCATCATACTGACAATATACTGCTTACTGCTTAGTATGCAGTATGCTGGTATGCCATTCCAAAGAAATAAGAAAATTCAAAAAAAGAAAAAGAAAAAGAATAAGAAAATTCATTTAGAAATAATTAAATCAACACTGATACCAATCACATATCAAACACAGACAACTGTTATCTTCAATGTGGACGTTTTCACATATTTTATGCCTCTGGGCTATGAAATCAACAGTATTCTGTTATCTACTGTAGTGTTCAAGCAATAATTTTACAAGAAAATGTTCGGTTAACTAAGGCATCAGAAGTTTTCCTCAATGGTACATTCCACTGCGCATTCAGTCTTTTCGGTAATTCATTGTTTTGTAATGTTCAGTTTTCTTAAAGCATTCCTTTGCTTGGAGACCACTGTGTACTCGGATCATTTAGGTGTTTTTTTTTTTTAAATCATTGTTGTTTGAATTATTTAATGATTCATCTTGAATTTAGGCTTGTGCTAAAGAGCGTTTGGCCTCAGGAGCGACAGCAGAGCAGTTTGTGAAAGACGTTCCTGAACTCCACATTGAAGGCAGTGTAGATGATGGGGTTGACGGCGCTGTTCACGTAACCAAGCCATGTGACCACACTGATCAGCGTCGGCCCGATGTCACATGACTCACACAGCGCCTTAGTCACATGGACCACGAAGAAAGGAGTCCAGCAGGCCAGAAACACACCTGGAGAGGAGAAGATCATGTTAGGAGTTTATGTATATCCTTACATTGGTAATTCATCCAACTCTTTCATGTGCATGACTGAACTGACTACAGGCAGCAAAAAGAGCTAACCATTTCTGGCTCGATGTGCCTGTTTTTTTTTTCACCACTATAAGAGTGTCAGTTACCTTTTTATTCAGCTTTTGTATTTTTTTTATTTTTTTTATTTTTACTGTTATGTTGCAGAATGCTGATTTCACACCAAGATTTCAGTCTTTGTAAGTTGTGCGGGAAACAATGGTGACAATAGTGGTCAGTGCTTTCATTGCCCTGGAAACAGCTTTATACTTGACCACCTGACGGCTGTCATTTAGTTCTAATTTCTGCTTACGCATTTATTCATGACTTGATTCATTATTTTCACGTAAATGAACATTCAAATACACTGATGGATGCCCGCACAGTCTTGATTTTAAAAACCTCAGATCACGGCAAGGAACTTTGAGTGTTTGAAAAAACCAGCATGGCTGCTCACCAGAATTTGTTTTGGATGCTGAAGTCCCTTAAAATCATCTTAAAGGGACAGTTCACCAAAAAAGAAAAATAAATAAAATGTTTGTCATAATTTACTCAAACACTGTCTCATTTCATATCAGACGTTTAGGAGAATGTTCATGATGCCCCCAAGATGTTTTCAAGCATCTATGCTCAATCCAAATATGCTGATTGTCTCTTTTTGCATGCAGAGTGCTGTCAAACGATTAATCGCAATTAATTGCATCCAAAATGAAGGATTTTGTTTACATAATACATGTGTGCGTACTGTCTATATTTATTATGTATATATGTATTCACACACATACGTACAGTATATATTTTGAAAATATTTACATGTCTATATTTATATTCATATAATTTATATTATATATAAATATATTTAATATATAAACATAACATTTTTCTGAAATATACTGTATACATGCATGTGTGTGTATTTATGTATACATAATAAATATACATAGTACACACATATACATTATGTAAACAAAAACTTTTATTCTGGATGCAATTAATCGCGATTAATCGCATGACAGCACTAAATTTACATTAATCCCTTAAGCAAAAATTCCTTATTCAACCTAAAGGAAATTAAACCAGATTAAATTAAACACAAAAAACGAATTCAATTTTAATATGCAGCTTAAAATGCACATAAAGCTGCTTTTATGGAAGCACGTTTCTGCCACTGAATAAAAAATAAAAAGGTAATTGCGACTTTTTCTAACAATTCTGACATTTTTTCTCACAATTGGGAGTTTACATCTCGCAATTTTGACCTTTTTTCTCAGAATTGTATGATATAAACTCATAATCGCAAGTTATAAAGCCTGAATAGCTGGATATAAACTGGCAATTGCAAGAAAAAAATAGCAATTCTGACTTTTTTTATACATTTATATCTCACAATTCTGACTATATTTCTCAGAATTGCGAGTTTATATCTCACAGTTCTGAGAGAAAGTGTCAGAATTGTGAGTTTGTATCATGCAATTCTGAGAAAAAAAGTCAGAATTGTGAGATATAAACTATATAAAAAAAGTCAGAATTGCAAGGTAAATTCGCAATTCTGACTTTTTTATATAGTTTATATCTCACAATTCTGACTTTTCTCGCAATTGCGAGTTTGTATCCCGCTATTCTGGATTTATAACTCGCAATTATGAGTTTATATCATGCAATTCTGAGAAAAAGGTCAGAATTACGAGGTGTAAACTCGCAATTGCGAGAAAAAAAAGCCAGAATTGTGAGATAAAAAGTCGCAATCACCTATTTTTATGTTTTATTCAGTGGCAGAAACGGGCTTCCATATGCTTTAGAAATTTATGTTGTGAAAAGCACAATAACAAACATTTGAATTGAATTGATACATACCCACAACCACGGGCAGCACCTTCATTGCCTTCCGCTCTCGTCCGCTCACCCTGTTGCTCTTGCTGTGGCGGCGTCCCGTATGAGGGCGATGGTTCTTCCCTACACCATTCTCCCGTCCACTCTCATCCTCGGTGGCACGCTCAGGGTTCTCTGCGTCCGAAACACTGTCCATCTGGGTGGTAATGGGGTCACTCTCTGCTGCCGGCGTCTGACCTTCTGCCTGCTCATCTGTGGTAAGAGTAACCGGGCTGGCTGGAGAGATTGGTGTAGTCGAGGTAGCGGTGAGAGATGTCGGACTGAGACCTGCAGGCATGAGGTACACCACCTTCTCCCTCGCCCGTCCCTTCTCCTTCTGTAGAGCTGCTCCTAGGCGCAAAGACAGGCTTCTACGGCCTCTGGATGGGTGGTGGAGGTGCGACCTTCTACGGCCAGAGCTCCATCGCTTTAGTCCCCTGAACATCCAGTAGTACAGGAGGAGCATGACAGGGCAGGGGACAAAGAAAGAGCAGATGGAGGAATAGACCACAAACTGGTTGTCCTCCAGCTTACACACATGAGGGTCCCTGTTGGGCACCTGGTTTAAGCCGAATATGACAGGACTGGCTACGCCTAGGGAAAGCACCCAGGTGGCTGTGATCAAGACTAGCTGACGAACACTAAACTGGTTCCTGTTGTATTTCAGAGGGACCACTACTGCAATGTACCTGTAACAGAGAGGAAGAGAAAGTAATAAGATCCACTGACACCTATTAGGATAAATATAATGATAACTATATTACTCCAGTGAACAATAACATTCTGTTTATTAAAAGCATGCACTGTAGTTTTGTTCTCTGCCACTTTAAATGCTCCAGCTCTTTAAAGCTGGATGGATTCTGATTGGCTGCCTGCGTTTTTATTGTCCTTCCACTAAAAAAAAAAGAAAAATTTCTGAAAGTGATTCCAATTATATTGTTCCCCTCATATTGTTCCCCCTCGGACTTGGACATTTTTGACATACAGATGAATCCATGTCATGTGTAAGATAAAAGATTTTAAAAAAAATGAGTAACAACATAAAATCAAGATTAATAAAAAAAAAAGACATTAATAACTCCAACTCAATTGGTTAAAAACTTGACTTTGACTCAGCAAAGTGGACTCGGACCAAATATCTTCTTTTGTGTTCCAGAGAAGAAAGAAAGTCATACGGGTTTGGAGCAACATGAGCGCAGATCTGTCCTTCAGGCGGTGCAATGTTGGTTTGCTTGTAAAAGCTTATGTTTATGCGTAAAATCATGATTGACAACTCCTTAAAGCATGTTTTGTGTTTGTTAATCTCTGTGACCCGCGAGACAGTGGAAGATTCTAGCACAATCATTTTAAATTGCATGAGACCTCATAAGTCTGATTAATCTTTTCAATCATCTACACCCTTTCGACCCCAAACCTTTGTTTTCATCTTCAGAGACAAGCTCGCGTTTGTTTTAGTATGCGTCAAAGACGGACTGACCCTGCTTTGCTTTGGTCTGGGACCTCTTGAAGTTGTTTTATATTGTTTATGTGAATCGGTAATGATTGATGCACTGTGTAAGTAATGAAATTCAGCACCACGTTGTGGTTTCATTAGCATCCCGTTGGATGCCAATCACACATAACCACCAATTTAAGATTCACTGTGTGAACGCTCAGAGAGGCACAAAACAGACCTGCTGAATGTTAAAAAATCATTAAAAATCGTATGAAAGTTTAGGGACCAACACAAGAAACGTGTACTGTAGATAATCTGGATGGACAAACTATTCGTTTTCTATCTTTTTGCAGTGTTGGGGGTATATAGAAGGCCATTTCTGATAGACAGATAGATAGATAGATAGATAGATAGATAGATAGATAGATAGAACGACAGATAAAACAATACACAGATAGAATGACAGATAAAACAATAGACAGATAGATAGATAGACAGATAGACAGATAGATAGATAGATAGATAGATAGATAGATAGATAGATA